CATCATCCCTCAGCCCCTTTCTCAGTTCTCCCCTGTGTCCCCTTTGGACACTTCACAACAGGAATGAGAAGCTCCACCTGTATCCTGGATCTCATCCCATCTAATCTTGTCAAGGACTGTCTCCCAGCCATCTCACCACTCATCACAGTCATCACTAACTCCTCCCTCAGCTCCGGTTCAGTCCCCGAAACAGTCAAACTGGCTGCTGTCACCCCCATCCTCAAAAAACCTGGACTTGACCCTGACACCATGAGCAATTTCCGGCCCATTTCCCATCTTCCTTTTCTGTCAAAAATACTGGAACGCGTTGTCGCTACACAACTCAAAGCCCACCTCATCTCCAACGATCTGTTCGAGCCATTTCAATCCGGTTTCCGCTCACAGCACAGCACTGAAACAGCCCTCCTCAAAGTCACCAACGACCTCCTCCTTTCCTCAGACGCTGGTCACCTCAATATTCTCATCCTCCTCAACCTCACTGCAGCTTTCGTCACCATCCACCACAACATCCTTCTCTCCCGCCTCGAATCCTCCCTCAATATTACCGGAACTGTTCTCTCCTGGCTTAAATCATATCTTACAAACAGACAACAGTTCATCAGTATCAACAACTGCACCTCCTCCACTGCCCCTCTGTCTCAAGGCGTCCCCCAGGGTTCGGTGCTTGGTCCTCTTCTGTTCATCCTCTACTTGCTCCCTCTTGGTAACATCATACGTCAACATGGTTAATAACCACTTAATAAACTTTGATCCACACCTTCATCACCTCCAGAATCGACTACTGCAAGAGTATTCTCTATGGCACATCATCCAAAATCCTAAATAAACTCCAGTATATCCAGAACTCTGCTGCTCGCCTGCTCACCAGCACCCGCTCCTGGGATCACATCACCCCTGTTCTCCAAAATCTCCACTGGCTCCCCATCCAACAATGAATCCAATACAAAGTCCTTCTCCTCACTCATAAAGCCCTCCACAATCAGGCACCCTCCTACCTCACCGACCTGCTCCACCACCACACTCCATCCCGTTGGCTCCGCTCCTCTGATGCCAACCTCCTGTCCCTTCCACTCAGGACCAAGCACCGGACATGGGGCGACAGAGCCTTCTCCATATCTGCCCCCTCCCTCTGGAACTCCCTCCCCAAACACATCCGAGACTGCACTGAGCTTTCCATATTCATATCACAAATCAAAACCCACCTAATCAGAACTGCTTTTAATGTGTGACCGATATTATGTTTTAAAATTTTTAGTGTATAGCTTTCTTTTATATGATGATTTTAATGTAAAGTGTCTTTGAGAATTATGAAAAGCGCTCAATAAATAAAATGTATTATTATTATTATTATTATTATGTATTTAATAAAACATCCATTGTGTGTCACCATAGCGTGTGTTAGAAACATGTACTCATTTTACCAGGACCTAGTTGTTGACATGTGTGGTCAGATAGGTTTATTTTTGGATTACTATATTTGTAAGGCTTATTGGTTTGTATTTGTTCAGGCATTGGCTGAGTCTAGTACACACACCTTTTTGCTCACCAGTAAGAAACATTTTATCGAAGAAAAATATTACCTAATGTATATTTTTATCTTTCATTCTTAATAGGTTTTAATGATGCTTCTTTGAGTCATATTTATTTTTCTAGCAACATATTAAACATGTGTTTCCCCTTGGCATTATTTGAAATGACTGCTGACAACAACATTGAAAATGTGTTTCTTTTTTTTCATTTGTGACAGAATCTGCAATTCGAGGTGCAACCAAGATCCAAGAAACAAAGATCAATTGCTGAGACTATAACAGTACAAGGTCCAGGATATTCCCATCGCTCTCAACCGATTGGCCCGAGGCAGGACACCGACACAAGTGATCATGATGCTGATAAAGTCTGACTCCTACTTTCAAATGACTGATCTGACCAGTGCACTTCCTAATGACTTCCCACAAACACAGACTCAGCACATATGTTAGGAAACTATTGCTGATGTTCCAGAAGTAGACAAGCAAGATATAGTTGTTTACTTTGTTAAAAGAGCCATGTTGGCATCCACAACAATAACATTTGTATATTATGTATATTATTATAAAAATGTATATAAAACCATAATATTCAAGTTGTGCACAACTTGTATCAAAACAGATGTGTAGTTTTGAAAGGTGCAGTGGAAGTCAACAAAGTCCTTTTGACTTGATTCCTGGGATTGTGCAGCAGTTTTTATAAACTTTTTTTGAAACTTTGCAATAGCTTTACTTGAAATGAGCGTGTCAGATGCTTTCATTGCGTTCGGGCCCTCCAGGGATACCTGGAGGAGGACGTGACTGGGAAGACAGGATTTTAGCTCACATTTCGTAGCCCATCCCGACCTCCACCCAGACCTAGAGAAGTGAGAGTGGTAAGAAAGTGGATGGACGGAAGCGACACCAACTGCCACTGTTCAATTTTAAATGTGTAGCGATCCACGTAATCATCATGTATACAAATTTGAGGAAGGTCACTGTGGAAATGGCTAATAGGATACCAAAATGTAAAACTGGCAACTGGATAGTTATATCCCCAGTACATAATCTCTTACTTGTGTCTACTCTGCCGTCATTAGTCGATAACACTGAGCCTGGTATCACACCTAATCATATTAGACAACATTATATTACAGTGACGATGGAGATGACTGTGAAGATAAAGCTTATTCCCTCATCTCTCTCTCCACCCTTTTCTAAACTTGTGTTCCCCTTCCTCCTGTCCATCTATATGTGGACACGCTACTCAGTGAAAGCCTCGATTGACAGAAGAAAACAAATAGAAACAACTGGCAAAGGTTGAATAAAAGAACAAGCTGTCAGAAACCGAGAGACACCGGTTCTCACTCACAGACGCAAAGGTAAGAATTTCTGGCTGTTTTAGTGACATACCATGCAGGTTATACCATGTCTATGTCTAATCATCTTCTGAGTTCTGAAGCTACAGGTTTAGTTTCTCCACACTAAAATGCAAGTGTTAGAGATTTGAGTTTTATTTTATACACAAATTCAAATTGTATTAAATGTGCATTTAGCAAGCAGCACAATATAGTGTTACATCCATTTGAATATGCTTACATAAGCATTGGTTTAGTCCAGGGATTCCCAAAGTGTGGTGCGCGCGAGCTGCCTCTAGGGGGTGCGCGAAAGGAAACATGTAATGGTGGCCTAATGGTGCAGTCCTGTCTCCTAAAAATTACGTTCCCCAAAACTAAAATGCATTCTCAATTACGTTTGACCATAAACGTATTTTCTCCCTGATTACGTTTGTGTTTGACGTATTACAAATACGTTTCTCGTCAACATATCTTTGCCATACTCTAGTCTTTATTATTTTTCTGTGATCTGCCTCGCCTCTACCCCCGCCACCCACAAGTTGTTGACCCGCGGCCTGTTTCGAGGGCTGACAGACCTGACGATGGGGTGCCTCACGGCGGGGGCGGCTGGAGACCTCGCGTCCGGCGCCAACAGGTGAGCGCCAGCCACTCGGAACCATAAAACCAAGTCCCGGATTTCACCCCGGGGACATTCTGGAGGTATTGTGGCCGGGTGATGTGCCTCGTTGCTGGGGAGGTATGAGCCGAGAGTCGCGGGTGTTATGGAGGTATATTTTATTTATTTTTATCCATCTAACCCTAACCATAACTTCCACTAGGTAGCCACGTCCCCACCCAAACCTAACCCTTAAGAGAGTCACGGTTACTCCCGGATTTTACACGCGGGCCTTTGTGGAGGTATTGTAGCCGCGTAATGTTCCTCGTTGCTCGGCCTGGATGAGCGCGTTTCTGCTGGAGACAGGCGGGGTGTTTTGGTGGTATCTCAGCCGACAACTCGGTGTTGTTCCCGTGCATGGATGAGCGCATTTCTGCCGGAGACAGGCGGCGTGTTGTGGTAGTATTCTGACCGCGTAATAGGGAGAAGGAGAGGCGGTGGTGGAGAGGGAAAAAAATGTTAGTGTTAAAATGTTGATTAGAAACGTATTTGTAATAAGTCAATGTTATAAGTCAAACACAATTTTTAGGAGACAGGGTTGCATGCATGCCTGGTGCAGTGAGGTTCTGGCTAACAGCTGTCTGAAGCCCTCTTATTTACGTCGCCACCTGAACACCAAGCATGCCAGTGCAAGTCAAAAGCCCCTTATATTTTTATATCGAAATTGGAGGAGTTACAAAACAGCCAAAAACAACTGCAGTCTCATTCATGTCTTGGGTCTACAAAAAACGCACTACGGGCTTCTGGTCACAGAATAGCAAGAAAGGGGCTACCTCACACAATCGCCGAAGACGTGTGCTTGCCAGCTGCCAAAGAGATGGTGGAATGTATGACTGGAGAGAGAGAAGCAAACAAGTTGGACATGATCCCGGTGTCCAACAACACTGTCGCACAGCATCCTGTGCGACATCCTGGCTACATTAATCGGTCGCGTGAAGAAGAGTGAGTTCTACTCTCTGCAAGTAGACGAGTCTACAGATGTGGCCAATCTGGCCAATCTTCTGGTGTACGTCTGTTACCTTTTCGAAGGCACGGTGCAGGAAGTTTATTTGTCTTTTTTGTGTTTTTTTATCTCGTAAACAAACGCTACGCGCGAGCAAACTGTTCTCTCATTGGTCCGATTTTTATTTTTATTTTTAGGCTCTGTTGCTTTTTTTTTTTTAAGGTGTGGGGGGGGGGGATTGGGGGTGCGTGGCCTAAAAAGTTTGGGAACCGCTGCTTTAGTCAAATCATTTGTTCATGCATATGCATATATTATGAAGTGTTTTGGTTTTCAAGTCATGTTATGCTATTTTTACAGCTGTGTTAAAGTCCACTGGCTGAACTGCATTTGAATTAATGCATTAATGAATTAATGAATTAATCAGCACAACGGCTTTCATGTGGCCTCTACCAGTGTATCCAGGGTAGATGTGCCCCATGAATGTATTCCTCGATACTCAGAGCATCAGTACACACTCGGCATCTAATCGCAACATCGTAACTGCTGTTGGTTTATTTGATATTTAAAGGAAGCGTTCATGTCACCTTTCGGTTACTTTGACAAAAAAAAGAAAAGAGAGGTCAAGTGTTTGACATTACAGAATTACATTTTACAATTCCTTGAATTCCAGCATAATCACTGATTAAAGGGATAGTTTGGATTATTTGAAGTGGGGTTATATTAGGTACTTATCCAGTCAGTGTATGGAGTAACAGACAGGAGTATCAGCACGGGAGCAAAGCAACGTGCTGCAGTGGACGAGGGCAGCAGCTAAACGTGTTCTAGACACCTAAATAAAAGATAAGATAATCCTTTATTAGTCCCACAGCAGGGAAATTAGCAGGATTACAGCAGCAAAGTAGATGCAACAAGAGACATCCGTTAATAACAAAACAAGTGTAATAAATGAGTTATCAAACAGTGAATATAATAAATAACTAAACCATAAAAACAACAAAAACTAAGATATGATATAATCAAACTGAGTTGTTGGGTTTACATTATTGCATATATGAAGTAGGAAATATGAAGTGTTGGTATTGCACAGTGGTGTACATTGATATTGATATTGCACATGAATGAATAAATGAATGGGTAATTTGCCAGTTATTTTGGTGTTTGACCCACCCTAATACTACCTGACCGCTGTCTACTGTGCATAAAACACTGACTATAAATGATTACTACATACAACCCAAAATCAAATAATCCTAACTATCCTTTATAGATTATTAAGTAATATTCTTTCCTTTTTTTCTCTAGAAATTGAGTCTCTCAGCAGAGATTCATCTTACATTTTTAGGATCGCAACAATAGAATAATACTTTATTTGGGTTACAAAAAGGTGAACAGAATGACAGGTTTAGCTAGCAGATAATCTCATATCACACACACACACATGCTATGGTGTCCTAGGCATGTGTACACGTCAGACTCCCGGTAATCTCAACGTAATCTGATTAGTAAACCTCAGCCCGGCTCACAGTAAGTGGTCGTGATAACAGTGTGTCCAACATTTACACATGGATGTGGCAAAGTGTTGGATACTGCTGTTATGTTCACACGAAGACAGCATTTTTTTTCACCCCAATAACAATGTGTATTCCTTGGTGTATTTTGCTGTCTGAATTAGTTCTTAGTCCAGCTCAACTTTTATTTTGCAAAGTTATACCAGGGACACATACATGATCCATAAATCATATATGCATCGATGCAGTTGAGCGAGAACAATGGATCAATATACAGTCAGGTTATGCAGTTTGTGTGTTCTCTGTATTGCAGACTGCTAGCAGGATGTCTGGCTCTACCCAGGAAGAGGAGGAGTTGCCTGCCAACCACACAGGTCAGAGGCACAAATCAGGAAGATGCAGTGGACATAAATTGCTTAAATCACTCTGCATAGTGTAAGCTCTGGGAAATCATCAGATGTACAAATCTGACTCAAAACCAATGAATTCTGTCTCTATAAAAAGTATTACTGAGGCATCACCTGACGTGCAGTTAATCGTGCGACTAATTTCAATGCAATTTCAACCGTACGTTGTATTTAAGTATGTCTTCGTGAAGTCTTTTCTTCGTATCTGCAGGTCCAAAAGGTGTAATTAATGACTGGAGAAGGTTTAAGTTGGACAGCGTGGATCAGACTGTCCCCCAAAGCAAGAGAGAGCTGCTCAGACAAATGTCCAATCCACGGGAGGACGACAAGGAGAGACTCAACAGAAAGGTGGACGGAAAGACTCACCGAACCTTACGCACATAAACACGCCATCAACCTGTTTTAGAGTTAATCAGAGGATGACAAGCGACTCGGCCACAATTGCACAGATATTTGCCAACAAAAAGAAAAAGATATGTACAGAGGAACAGAATAAAAATCTGGGACATGCACGCACTTACAGGAAGATAGACACGATCAAATAAAAACATACAGTACACACAACAACAATCTACTGTATGTCGCGTTGGACACAAACGTCTGCCAAGAGAATACATTGAAAGTTAACAAAAAAGCAAAGAAGTAACATGTTTTTCCTCCACCTCCAGATGAGCGTTCAGGAGTACAAAATGATCCAAGAAGAGGACGAACGCGGCCTGAAGCGCTACAGAAAACATTGCATGCAGGAAATGCACGAGCACCTGAGCTGCGGCCCCACGTTTGAAGAAGTGTACGAGCTTGAAACCGGAGACGCCTTCCTGGAAGTCATAGAGAAGGAACACCGGCTGACCCTAGTGGTAGTCCACATCTACCAGCACGGTGTCAAAGGTTTCTTTGTTTAAGTCTTAGCTCATTGACTCACGATACCACTCCTATACAGAATAGTCTCATTGCTTCAACCCAAACTCCAGAAATGTCCAGTGAGATGGTTCACTACAGTGCTATCGGCTAATCGTTGTGCTTGTTCCGTTTGTCCTGTCAGGCTGTGAACATCTGAACTCCTGTCTGGATTGTCTGGCTTCAGAGTACTCAAGCATTAAATTCTGTCGTATTGATGCCTTGGCAACAGGCGCTGCTGAGCGCTTCTCGCCTGAGGTTAGTAAACCAAGAGCAAAGAAAATGATGACGTAATCTTAGTAACAGTGGTGGGCCGTGTGTTTCATACCTGGGCCTTCAGTGCTGTCCTACTACAGTTGAACCATCTTCTAATAACCTCATTATGACGCCACAGCTACGGGTTATACTTGTTTGTGTAAAAGCCACATATTCACATAACACTGCAACATTTGAAGAGTGAAATAAAATGTTACATGAAGTTCAACACAACCTTCACTACCCAAAGAGCCATTTTGCCCTATTTTTCACCAAATAAAATTTGTCTGGAGCCGCAAAAGCTATTTGACATCACAGCTTATAAAATTTCATATATAGTTATATTATATATACAAAACTATAGTTTGTTGTATTTATGAAATTATAGAACAAGAATAAAGACAATTCTTGACATTTTATTGCTATTTTACCTGTGTGCTTGTTCTGGAAGTGTCTTTCAACATTACATTTCTTGTTGTTTGCTAATGTCTCGCCACATTTCAAGCATACAGGTAAACCAGCATCATTGGCAGTAAAAGTAAATGAATACACAGAATTAAACTCTATTTTCCTCCATGATTTTTCTTTTTTTGGATTTATCCATTGATAGTGTAGCCGAGCGTTAATGTTGCGCCTATAATTTATGATAATAATAAAAAAATAAACACGGGGCTCCGTAATCTGCGGCAAAACGGCAGCAACTTTATTCACTTCTCCCACACTTCACCAGAACCTCTTTTTCACTTTCCGTCTCATCCTCCAGAATTAAAGCACCAAACACATACACAGGAACACTGCTTCCTAGAGATCTCTTAACATGCTCAACACAATAGTTTACAATAGTTTACCGAGGGCGGATGTCTGCAAATCATAATTAGCCACCTGCAGGGAAAGGCGCTTGACAGTGACGTAATAGGATGTGACACACATTTTAGTTGACAAACTATTAAAACATTTTTTATTTTGGCGGCGTGTCCAGCGGGTTACCAGCCATACGGAAGGAATGGACGTCTGAAGTCACGGTTAGCGGCTTTGAGGAGGATGGACACAAAACGGAGGACTTTCCTTTTCTTATTAATGCTTATTTTGTTCTACACAACTATTGTGAAGTCCACACACATAAACTATAAAGGAACTAAACATTGATTGCTCTCCAGTAGGACAGAGACTTCAGTCACCAGCAGAGCTACGAGTGAGAGACGTGTGTTGACCTCATTTATTGATCCATAATCTAGTAAACTTTTATTTGTAAGTGTTCATTTTAAAGTAAATGTAATGTGAGAGAGAGAGAGCAAAACCCGCAGCTTTGTAACTAAGTCTGAAAAATAAAACTTCTAAAACTTTACAGGAAATTAGTCTGTTTGAGTTTACAGAGGAATATTTTACAGGAAGCTCTTAAGTCATTCTTAAAGACTACTTTATATGAAGGCAAATCACTGTCAAAATCCGAGAACGCAAATGAGATCCATGCGCGTGCGAAAATCAAACAGCCGCGCACGTATTTTACTTTGACGAGCGCTTTTACATCACTCTACGAGCAAAATTCCGTCTCGCGCGAGCAAAAGTCGCTCGCGAAGCTTAAACCTGCTGGCTCGCGAGTCTTTTTCCTGCTCGCTCGCGAGTAGTTTTTCTTTTTGACAGTAAGTGGGCGGGCCCAGTCTCCATTGTATCTCTACATCTAATTGGTTACAATCCTCGTCTTGGGATAAACCGGATATCACTCTGACGCAGACGCTAGGTCTGATAGAGGTGGTTTTCAATCCGCCACTAACTACTCCACTACATCTCAGAATGTTCTACATTTGTCCGATAGGTTTTGTAAACTTTTCAGACTGTAGAGGCTGATGAAATACAAATTATGTTAATAGCGTTGTTAAATACAATAATTAAAAATGTGTTAAAGTCAAGTTGCTCAGATTAGTTTAAATTCACTCCATCATTCTATTACAGACGATGTGTGTTTGATCATCAAACCTCTTGTGACAAACAGCTCAAAGAAACTCTTTGATCTTAATTGATTAAAACATGATGTGATCATATTTAATCATACTGTTGTGTTTACAGAAGAGATATAATATAGTTGTATATAATATGAGCAACAATTTGGACCTGCTCAAAGATCTGGAGCCAAGATTAGGGACCACTGTTTGTATATTAACTGTTAAATCACTGACAAGTAATTAGTAGATGAAAAAGTATTCAGATCCTCACTGCAGTAAACGTACTAATAGCATACTGATGAAACAATAACCCACTACGAGTAAAATACCTGCATTCAAAACCTTAGTCAACGTTATTATCAGCAAAATGTACTTTAAGTGCAGAAAGTAAAAGTACCCGTGCAGTAAAATGTACATTATTTGCCCCTGACCTGTAATCTGAAAATCTCCCCCTAGCGTGATATCCGGTCTATCCCAAGACGAGGATTGTAACCAATTAGATGTAGAGATACAATGGAGACTGGGTCCGCCCACTTACTGTCAAAAAGAAAAACTACTCGCGAGCGAGCAGGTTTAAGCTTCGCGAGCAACTTTTGCTCGCACAAGAGTGAATTCTGCTCGCACAAGAGTGAATTCTGCTCGCGCGAGACTGAATTTTGCTCGCGGAGTGATGTAAAAGCGCTCATCAAAGTAAAATACGTGCTCGGCTGTTTGATTTTCGCACGCGCATGGATCTCATTTGCGCTCTCGGATTTTGACAGTGATTTGCCTTCATAACTGTATTACTCTTTCGTATTTTTTTAACCAAGCAACCAATCTACTTCCTGTTTACACCGGCACCATCATGCCCAATGTACGTGAATAGTCACGTGATATTCGTTTTCAGGTGTTTTATTCTGGACGGAGATAATTTCGAAAACAATGCTGAAACGCCGTGTGGACGGAGATCGTTTTTGTTTGTTAAAACTCCATTTTAACACGAAAACGTAGTAGTGTGGATGTAGACTCAGGGAGCCGCAACAGAGGGGCTGAAGAGCCGCATGTGGCTCCGGAGCCGCGGGTTGCCGACCACTGACCAAGACGCTCGGTCGCAAATAAAACGTATTCCCAGCCATAAAATGTGCAACACTTCTCCGACGCTGTCAACCAGGAATACCGTTCGTACAAATTCTTTTCCTGGCTGGGTCAGGGCTGCTAGCTGTGGGGTTGGCCGACCTTTTCTTACGATGTCCAGTTTTTCTGGAAATGTCCTTCTCCAGAAAGGCGTTGCCAGTAACTCCGCCATGTAGCCATCAAATATATTTTATATTTAAGACCCTTTTGCAGGATTCTAGGGGAGAGTCAACCAGTAAAAAGTTAACACTTTGTTTCACTAAGTTATTGTTAATTATCTAGCTGCCTGCACCCAATAAAATCTGCCACTAACAGCTGACATTTCAGTCTAAAATTTAAAAAGCCTGCTTCTGTCTTCTTCCTTGTGAAGTTAAGGATAGGGCCCAATGATTTCCACAATCCCCAAAAAAAGGCCGGAATTGCGGAAATTGATAATGAAATAGAATCCGTTGTAAATATTGTGGAATTTGCCAAAATGCAATTTATGAAAACCAAGATTTTCCCGACCGTTTAAGTGTTTTTTTCACAGCACTTGACCCAAATGGACAAAAAAACCTGTATTCTGCTATGTTTCATCAGAGAGTAATGTCGAAGAGGCACTCTTAGACGGCCAGCATAGTTCACACGACATGACTTTAGTCTGGATTTTTTCACTCAACGATTTTTTGGAGCTTCCCAACAAAAGCCCCAGATCAGAGGGAAACCGGCGATTGCTCGGCACTTGCTGTTCAAAGATGGGAGCCGAGATGCTCAAGCTGAGAACAGAAGACACGTGTTAAGCGGAAACTTTGGGGAGGGGTCGTCTGTTAGTCTCCAAAAAAACTGGGGGAAATTGACGCTAACATCTAAATTCAGGACTTTATTTTACAAAAGGACGGGATGTTTCTATTTATGTTTTGAAGCACTTTCTTTTCTCAAATATAATCGGGCAATGTTCTGTTTCATCAAATTCATTCATATTCATTCGTTTTTAATATTTTGTTATGAATTGTTGAAATTGTATTCATCCACCACATGATAAGACACCTTTTCTGATGACAAAATGTGCTTCAATCGTGGAACAAATCATAACTGAAAACAAAGAATTTGGGGAAATAATAATAATTTTAAAAAAAGATTTCATAGGCACCTAATAAAGGACCCATTGTTTCAGGAGATTACAATGATTATCAAGTGTTGCATCTCACACTGTTATCATTGTAAACTAAGTAATGCTGGAATGGAAAGATTTGCAGACATAGACAGCAAGAACTAATTAACTGACTTTTCAGTTTCACTTAGAGGTTGTAAAAACAAAATAACAAATTGTTGATTCAGCATTTGTAATGGTATAACTGAAACCGGACTAGCATTGAATTAAACACCTTGCTATTAAATAAAAAACATGAAATATGATTGTGATGAGATGCTGACTACTGACTATATTAAAACCAGTCTCACTGTCCCTATTAACTGAACTCAGAGACAGCCTGCAGCTACTTTTATGTTCCTGTTCATCTCCCTCCAGGTTCTTCCTGCTCTGCTGGTCTACAAAGCTGGTGAGTTACTGGGTAATTTCCTGGCTGTTACCAAACACTTCAATGAAGACTTCTTCGCAACGGATGTGGAGGGTTTTCTCAACGAATATGGCCTGCTATCCGAGAAGGAGTTCACAGCATGTGCTGATGATGAGGCCGAGGGAGGGGACGTGGAATAGTGAGAGGGGAAGGAGAAAATGATGATCGTTAAGAGAAGGGGGAGAAATGGTTTACATGTGGAGGAGAGTGGATGAAGGCAGAGGAAGAGGAAACAGGAAGAAGCAGTGTAAGAGTTAAGAAAGTCTTTACATTGCATGTGTAGATAAACACACAATAGTAAACATTCGCCAGCACACACAGGATGCTGAGTGCATATAGAAGCAGTTAGGTGCAAACAATTTGGTGTGAGGAAGTCTGCAGAAATACTGCTTTGCAGTCATATCACAGCTCTCCAATAAAAGCTGATATCACCAAAGTGCTGTCTGTGTCTGTCTGTGTTACATTGTACATTGGACTGATCTCTCTGGCAGTATTTCTGTGGCAATATATTACACTATATTTATGTGGGCGCAATATGGGCCATACATTGTAAAAAAATGTCTACATTTTACAGTGAAAAACTGTCAAATCACTACAGTAAGAGACCGTTAATTCCAAATAGGTTAAATTCAGTTTCTATGACAGTGAAACACCGTAAATATATACAGTACTGTGCAAAAGTTTTAGGCAGTTGTGAAAAAATGCTGTAAACTAAGAATGCTTTTGAAAAATATGAATAATAATTGTTTTTATCAATTTACAAAATGCAAAGTGAGCGAACAAAAGAAAAATCAAATCAATATTTGGTGTTACTACCCTTTGCCTTCAAACCAGCATCAATTCCTATAGGTACACTTGCACAAAGTCAGGGATTTTGTAGGATTATAGTCAGGTGTATGATCAACCAATTATACCAAACAGGTGCTAATGATCATCAATTTCACATGTAGGTTGAAACACAGTCAGTAACTGAAACAGAAACAGCTGTGTAGGAGGCTTAAAACTGGGTGAGGAACAGCCAATCTCTGCTACCAAGGTGAGGTTGTGGAAGACGGTTTCATGTCACAGGTCATACACCATGGCAAGACTGAGCACAGCAACAAGACACAAGGAAGTTATACTGCATCAGCAAGGTCTCAGACAAAGATTTCAAAGCAGACTGGGGTTTCAAGATGTGCTGTTCAAGCTCTTTTGAAGAAGCACAAAGAAACGGGCAACGTTGAGGATCGTAGACGCAGTGGTCGGCCAAGGAAAGTTAGTGCAGCATATGAAAAATACATCAAGCTTATTTCCCTTCGAAATCAGGAGATGTCCAGCAGTGCCATCAGCTCAGAACTGGCAGAAACCAGTGGGACCCAGGTACACCCATCTACTGTCCGGAGAAGTCTGGCCAGAAGTGGTTTTCGTGGAAGAGTTGCAGCCAAAAAGCCATACCTCCGACATGGAAACAAGGCCAAGCGACTTAACTATGCACGAAAACATAGGAACCGGGGTGCAGAAAAATGGCAGCAGGTGCTCTGGACTGATGAGTCAAAATTTGAAATATTTCGCTGTAGAAAAGGGCAGTTTGTTCACCAAAGGGCTGGAGAGTGGTACAATAATGAGTGTCTGCAGGCAACAGTGAAGCATGGTGGAGGTTCCTTGCAAGTTTGGTGCTGCATTTCTCCAAATGGAGTTGGAGATTTGGTGAGGATTAATGGTGTCCTCAATGCTGAGAAATACAGGCAGATACTTATCCATTATGCAATACCATCAGGGAGGCGTATGATTGGCACCAAATTTATTCTGCAGCAGGACAACAACCCCAAACATACAGCCAATGTCATTAAGAACTATCTTTAGCGTAAAGAAGAACAAGAAGTCCTGAAAGTGTAGCTGCAGGGCAGTGTATGAAATCCTTTCCAGCACCGATGTCAAAAACAGAACAGAAAACAAGCCGCGCCGTCTGGCAACGACCACAGGCCAGCAGATGCCAACAGTTCAAAAACCAATAGTTATCACAGAACAAGGACTCCAGTAGAGCAGGTAAGCTCTCAGTTTGACCAAATGTCCACAGTATTCATATTGTATTCCCACACGGGAGGTAGGCTAGGCTCTCAAATTAATCCCGACCGTATTCCAACTCAGGGAAGTAGGCAAAAAGTCTGTCGTAATCCAACTCAGGGAGCAATCACAATACGTAAAGAAAACTAAAACAGCATTCATCCCAAGGGGGGAATTTGTTTGTAGCAGCAGCAAACAAAATTACAGAGTAAACATAAAAATGAGTGCTGGGCAACGATTACAATCGCATTGTTATGCACAAAGTTCAATGATTAATTCAAAAGTAGTGTATTGCGCACTTTTATTTTAAAAGTACTGCTATATGAACAAAAGTGCAATAACATTTGGTTTGCAAACACTTTAAACAAATAAGGTTATTTTTAACAGCAGTATTCTCTTTTTTAACAGCAGTTAATATACAGTTATAATGATTCTGATCATAGATATTCAGCCGGTGTTCACAACTGTATCTTCATGTGTGTAATAGATGCAATTTAAAATATACACCTTGAAAACTGCAAACCTATCTACTTCATGTTTTTTTCCTTTTTTTAATGTTTGTTAAATTCGGCAGCAGCAGCAGGAAGAGAAGGAACAGCTGTTCACCGCTCGCTGCCCGGTTCTTGTGTTAAAAATGTCTGCTTAATAAAAAATTAAAAACTGCATTTATGTGCGATAATATAATTGTCGGCGTTAATTAATGAATGCGTTAACTTGCCCAGCACTAATAAAACTATTAAGTATGAAAGATGCTCAATATATACAATACAATAAAATAACAGAGCAGAATATAATACATTTAAAGAAAATAAAAAATGCACAGTATAAAATAGAATGGTATTAAATTAACTAACTAGGTAAAAAAAAAAAACAGTAGTGCAAGGATCACCAACAGCAAACAACAACAGTGTAGCGGTGTTGTAGTCAATTGAAGGATGATCTGGCCAGAGGTGATTTGTTATAAAGTCTTGTGCAGTGGGCAGGAATGTTCTCCTGAATCTGTCCTTGTGACAGCGGAGTCTGTTGGAGAAAGTGCTCCGCTGTCCCTGCAGTAGGTGGTGGAGAGGGTGATAATAGTTATGGATAATAGTTTCTTCAGTGTCCTCCTCTCCACCACCTCTTCCAGATAGTCTTGTTTGCAGCCAATGATGGAGCCGGCCTTCTTAACCAGTTTGTTAAGTCTGTTGGTGTCTCCGGCTCCAATGTTGTTCCCCAGCAGACTACGGAGAAGTACAGTGCACTGGCCACAACAGACTGGTAGAACATCTCCAACATCTTGCTGCACACGTTGAAGGATCGAAGTTTCCTCAAGAAAAAGAGTCGACTGGTCCCCTTCTTGTACACAGCGTTGATGTTGGTCTTCCACTTCAGTCTGTTGTCGATGGAGACACCCAGGTACTTGTACTCCTCCACCATGTCCACATCCTCTCCCAGAACTTTCCAATTTTGTTTTTTCAACACAAGTCTTCTGTTTTCATAAATAATGAAATTCCATCCGAGAGCAATACAACCAGGGCCATTATATGGTTCATGTGTGATGAGTTAACGAGGTGAAACGACTTGAAATCCTGAAAGTTAAATGTGAAAGAAAATGATTCAACCTAGTGGTTTCGATATTGCATTAATTTCCCCAAGTTTAGCCTTACAGGCAGCTGCTGCCACACATCCTGCTCTGCAATGCGAACGGTGTTCATTTGTAGATGCACAAGTGTTGTGGTAAAGCGTGGTTCACATTAAGGTTATTACCTAATGCCAACTGTTTTACCAGAGGCAGTATTTGTACGCTGCACGAATATAAACGCTGCCTGATAGTCTCTACTTTGGTAATATTAAACCAGGGCGGAACCCCATGTTTGTAGTCCACTCCTGCTGTTTTGACAGTGGTGCTAGCGATTAGCACGCGGATTTCTATGATCGTGATTTGAAGGGTCCGTTAAATGTAACATTAAATTCATTCAAAATCTGAAAGATTACATTTGGAGAAGATGCAGGATGACGCGCGCTACCTCAAACGGTGAGAGCAAACAAAGCTAACATGATTGTTTTTTCAAGATGTTTTTGGTAAACGGTATATGTTGTTGTCGTTAACGATGACTAACCTTACTACAATACCACTCGTATGTTAATATAATTAAGATATGGCAGCACAGTGTGTCAGCTCTAATTCTAGACGTTTAATAAGCACTCAGGTTAGATGAGACTAAGGAGTGTTTGGTAAGTATTTAGCCTTGATGGCTGCGGTTCTATGGCATGGAGAGAAGCCTCACCAATTGTCAAACTTTGGGCAGTATCATATTTACTTGCTCGCTGGGTAAAGCTAGTATCAAGTGTACGATGTCTTAAGGACATTTTTAAAGCACTATGACACATCAATGAATTCGGCATGTTATGTAATCCACAGATAAAATACATACGTGAAAAAATCTTGCATGTCTCTCCCAAACCAACCCTTGGAGGATAGCGGTAGCTCATAGCTAGCGTAGTGTATCTGTGTGTATCAGTACAAGGAACTACGAGGGGAATTTCAACAATACCGAATCGACCACAAGACTTCAAAAATCATAAGGAACGTATTTCATTTGCCTACTGACCTATATTTTCGTCGGTAACTACAACGCCATTAAAGCGACAGATTGTGAAACGGGGTTTGGCATTACATCCCCTCAATGAAGGGGGCTGGGATACCTGGGTGACAGCTAGCAAGCTAACGTGAAACGGTGACCGATCAAATGCCTTGCTAATTAGCTGTCTAATGTTGAATTGGGTCAATGTCTAAGAGTTAACACGTGTGTGCTGAGCTAATCTTTCTTATAATCCAGCCCTTTATGGAAACATGTTAATAAGCAGCCAGACAGCGTATGTCGCTGTCTGGGCGTGTCTTCCCATCGGTATTGTTTGGGTGGATGGTTAAAACTTAATGACGTTATCTCCATTTAACTTGTGTATTTTTCTTATTATTATTTGCTTTATGAGCCTTTAAAAGTCAGTCATCAACATTCAGTGAAAGATGTATGATATAAACCTCCGTTCTGGGGCAACGTTACGTTCCAAATGTGGAAAAAGGAGACACATTTGTTGGCTGAGGTCATGCTGAATGACCCCACTGATTTATTGTAGAATTCACTGATTTGAGACTTAAGTCCAATGCGAGGGTTATGAAATATGTATTTAAAATTAGTTAACTGGAGTCTTAGACAGTTACGGGAAAACATCAGTTTGAGGTCTTGTTTACTTATCTGTCTGTACATTATCACCCAAAGCAAAGTGACTGCTGGCAGTCTGGATGTCCATCCCACAGAGAAGGCCCTTGTGGTCCACTATGAAGTGGAGGCGTCCATACTGGGAGAGGGTGGAGGCCATATGCTGGGCGAACGAAAGGAGGGACAAAAAATGTGAGTGTACTTTATGAGAATTTTAAGAACTCCAATGATTTGTTTTTTTTTCTCCATCACTTCTTCTTTCTTTAATTTAATTCTGATGGAATGATACAAGTTTGTCATTGAACTTTTTTCATGATTACCATTTTTTTTCTATTTGTATTATCTTCCTTCTTTTGCCATCCACTCCAGATTCCATCGTTCTCTACCTCTTTTAATTCATATTTATTTTTTCTCATTGGAACTGACTTAGGGAAGGTTTTATACAGGCAGGTTCTTGAAATCACCATTGGGTTACTCTTACGTCTCTAGGAGTAGCTTGCCATATAATTGTCATTTGCTTGGTATGCTTAAATGGTATGAACTAATTTTTCTTTGCAATGAAGGTTACTAAGTTTTGAATTTCACATCTTTCCTGCATTCTTCTGTTGAAAGCTTTAAGATAAATACATAAATGAAGTTCGACCAGTGTCAGATCAACCTTTTATTGATCTGTGACCATGCTCTTTTTCCCTTCAGTATCCGAGTGAAAAGTCTTTCTCCGAGCACAGATGTGGGAGCCTTGGCCAAGAAAGTGGTGGAGGAGTGTAAACTCATCCCTCCTTCACGTTTGCCCCAGGTGGAGCAGCTCCTCTACTACTTGCAGAACAGGAAGTCGTCACCCGTCGAGGGCAAAAGTCAGTCATGTCACCATTTTTACCCCCTTGCTGTAGAGTCTAAAGCGCCTGTGGAACGAGGCTGTGTGCGTAATCGATCATGTATGATTAATGTAAATGCGCTCTCTCTCTTTCTCTCAAAGACAGTAGCTTACATGTAACTATCACAACAATAAATATGAATTTCCCCTTCCCTCTCACAGACCAACAGCTAACCAGCTAGCTAGCCCTACCACATCTACCGGCATCAAAACTGAAAGGAAGTTGTAAAGTAGTAAAGCCCGCCCCTTGCTCGATTTGATTTGTTGCCTGGGCCACTTGTAACATTGATGAGCGGTGCGACTCCGTGCCTTGCACTGAAAAGTTAAGATTATAAGATATGAACTTTTACCAGCATCTAAAAAACGCTCTAAAAGTGCAAAATGCTGTGAAAGAGAGGAGCACAGGTCAGGCTCACCATACCGCAGAAAAAATGTTTTGCTGACAACGTGCCTCCGGCAACGCACTTCTGGCAAACTTTCACACGTAAAGCTTTACTTGGAGGCTGAAAAACGTTGTTCAATTGATTTGAATTCTTTTATACGTAACTTGAATTACAATCAGCTGATTCCTCATCGAATGCTACTCTTTCTATGGCCGACAAATCACATCACAGTGTGGGTGTAAACATTGCTCAACGCCAACTTTTCCAATGTAAAGTAGATCATTTCATTAGTCTGTAAACATTCCAAAACCACTAAACATGTAAGGGCCGAGGAATGGCAGATTTGAGGAGTGTTACATCAGTGTTTACCAGTACATTAATCAGCCATGTAGATCTTGTTACGTGTACATAGTTGAATACATGATGAGAAGATTGTACAGTGTTTATTGATGCAGTGAGAACATTTTCCCACTGGTTAATATATTCTGTAATGTTTCTATAATGTTGTCTGTCTGTGTTTTTGTGTCACCAGCGGAGAAGAAAGAGAAAAGAACAGTGAAACCTAGAGAGCTGACACCGTTTGAAGGAATGGAGGTAACAAAGGAAAGCACTGACTGACTCTGCCTGTTTGTTCATGTGTCTTGTTGCTTCACAGCCGTTACAGTTTGATCTCGGTTCTCAGACAGCACTTTGTAAATTTAATTCTGTATTTTTCATGATCGTTGTTCTTCTCTCTAATCTGATTTGAGGCCTCTGTGTCTTACAATAATCTATGACTCAACATTTATTTATTTAATTCTATTGAATCTAACTTACAACATGGCTGAAAGAAAAAACCTCAATCAAATCTCATGTTTATTGTTCACTGGAAAAGAGTGCTGCAGGAATGAGTCCTAAAACCCAGAAATGACTCGGCATTGTTGCCTTTCTGGTTCCCTCGTATAGGAGTCAATGGGTGGTCAGACGCCTGATCTGTGCTTAAGACGAGACTTTATTGTTTTGTTCTTACTTCAGGCTTCAAAAGTCATTAATTGTGAAGATTATCTTGCTGAACAAAACATGGAAGTATCATAAATGTTTGTTTGCCACAGAGCTTATTTTTTGCACAAATCCAAAATCCATTGGAAAAATCCCGTTGTCTTTTTGTGGAGGGAACCAGTGTGACGCTAACTTCCAGGGTTTTCCTACAAAAACACGTCACTCCTCCAGCACTCTATTGGGCCATGCCTTGTTATAAGACAATGACAGTATTTGTGATTGTCTGTGTAGTTAGATGAGGAAGCCAGTGTCACCAGAGTGGATGAGTACATTGAACTGCTGTATGAAGGCATCCCAGAGAAGATCAGAGGCTCCGCTCTCATTCTGCAGCTCGCCCGCAACCCTGACAACCTGGAGGAGCTGCTACACAACGGTATTCCATCAGTCCACCGGCTTAGTTTGGTGGCATGTTTAGCGAAGTAGCTGTAACCTACTATTACATCAGTGGCGGGCCGTGCATTTTATACCTGGGCCTTCTGTGCTGTCCTACTGAGCTACGGTTATTTGTTGGTGTAATAATACACGTATTCGTATTAAACGACATTTTCCATGGACTGCGCTCACGTAACAGACAACGGGATCTGTGACCTTTGAACCCGGAACAATAACAAAAAACCGAAATAACCCCGTGATGACGGGATGCTTCGTCATTAACGGACAAGTCAGAACCAATGTAACTAACACAATAGGCTCGTTCGAGTTGAACTGCGCCTCGCCGGAAAGCAGATGAGAGCAGGCGGACGTAGAAAGGGGCGTTGACAGAAAACTGCGTTCAAGTCGGACCGTTTTCAGCCGCCTGCTTCTTCTTTTGCTTTTGCTTTTTATGGCGGTTGGCAAACAGCTTTCGGGTGCATTACCGCCTCCCACTAATCCGGAGTGTGGACTAAGGACTCTAATACGACAACCAAACGAAAATAAATACATATATACACACATATACATATGTGTGTAAATAAATAAAGATATCAGCGCAAGTCCCATCATGCACTGGGGTCATGCAGTCTGTGGAGAGCAATTCTGCATCGCCTGGCTCTAAAATCTGCGGTCGCCTCGCTCACGTGAGATCATCGTTACGCACGTTTTCATAACGTCAGAGCAAGTCGGACGCAAATCTACCCAGCATGCATTGTGCACCGATCGCCGGTGATCGATTCTGCGCACGCCTGGCTTATGTCGAACGAGCCTAATGACCAGTCACGTAAAATTGTCAAGCATGACAAATCAATCCCCAGGCCAGCGAACGAAAAACTGGCCAGCGAAATAAGCACCGGTCGGCGGAATAAACACCGGGCGACGTTTCTGAAACACCGGTCGGCGTCAACGAAACACCGGGGCGCGAAATAAACACCGGTCGGCGTCAACGTAACACCGGCCGGCGAAATAGCACCGGCCGACGTTAACGGAACACCGGGCTGAATCTCTCCTTAAAACAAGCTGTGCTGGAACCAGAGCAACAGAGGAAGACAGGAGCTGTGCAATGAGAAAATAGATAAAGGGAAAAAATTATTAAATTATAAAATAGCTATAACTTTGTGATTCTGTTTAGGCCAGCAGAGAAGACTTAGCTGGCCCTGACGGCCCGCCACTGGTTTACATGCAGTACTTGTTTTACTGAATAGGTAAAGATGTGCATCATTTTGCCCTCATTAAGACAATCAAAGGGTGTGTTTGTGATCTGTCCTCTCCTGTACCTTTTGTTGGTGAAGGTTGGCTTTGTACCTATCATTTCTATATTACTGCACATGACTACTTTTTTTTATTTAGAAAGTGCATTCAAAATCAGACTACAACAGTCTATGATATCTGTTAAATAGCAGTATGTGTGTGAGCCTCCTCAGTACATGAACTAAACATGAATCCTTCTGCAGTGTATCACAAGACTGTTGTAATCTATACAGCAGCTCTATGACAGCACACTGAATGCCTATGGAGTTTTACACTGCAGGCATTAGCCTAGCGGCTAGCAGACTTTAGTTAGTTACTTTTCTCATAGCTCTTCCACACTGACTTGGTTTAAGTCAGTGCATCTGCTGACAGAACACCTCCCCGGTTGAATTTCAGCCTGCATGCTCATTTCTTTCAGCCCAGAAGCAGAGCAGCTAATATTGGTAGCGAGAGCGATACGTTAGTGGACTGACTTGTCCACTAGACTCGCACTGAGCTGAAATGAAACCAAACTCCAGATATTCTGTCACTCCATTGATGTAGAGTTGCTGACCTCCACATCGTGATGCGTCTTAGTGTCATGACATTTCCACACCTCTTATTGCTATGTTGTTAACAGTAAATTATTTGTACTTGCACTATCTTATAATTAAGATTCCATAATCCAAACATTGTTGCAGAAAATAAGTTTTCATCTAGTGCAGCATTCATTTAAAGGGACAGGGCCGGGGAGATTCACAACATAAAGAACGGCTGCGCCCAATCAAATTTTATATAATACAATATATATATACAACTGTTTTCATTTTAGGGATAGTAATGATGCAACACATTTCTTCCATCATTAATCACTTATTTTGTACTTTGATGTGTTTACTAAGGAGCTGGCTGTAATGCACATCAATATGGCCATAAATAATAAAAACATCAGCAAAAAGGTCAACAAAAAAATCTTAAGAGTAAAAACTTCTGGTGAAGTAAAAAATCTACTGTTATAAGTCTCTGTAACGGGCAACAACTGTGTGTGTGTGTGTGTGTGTGGTGTGTGTGTGTGTGTGTGTGTGTGTGTGTGTGTGTGTGTGTGTGTG